AAAATTTAATTCTCAATCAGTTCATTTTATTTCTTTCAAAATAAATTAAAGAATATATTTTATTTAATATCTTATACTAAATTTTAATATTATATTTTTGTTATAATGTTGCAAGTTCAAAAAATAATTTACCTTCAGTTCTTTATGTTATTTAATTTCTCTATAGATATATAATTTATCTCCTTAAATAAAATTAATTTATTCTTAGATATATATTAATTAATAAAATGAAAATTATATTTTTTTTAGTATTTTGGTGTATAAATATTATGAATATTGATTATAAAAATAGAAATAAAATTAATTATAAGTACATGTGTTAAAGTATGTCTATTTTAGTCATTATATATCTTCATAACAATTTTGTACATAGTTTACTAAACACATAATTTTTTGCTTTTGGTATTCACAACAACTTTAAAATTTTTTTTTACCAAATACCTACACGTTTCTAGTCACAACAACTTCTGACTAACAACACAATAACAATAGAAATTTTTAATAGCATAGCAATGTCAAACTAGTCGTAAATATTAGGGCTCGTGGCCTCTGGTTCAACCCTGCAGCCTAATATTTATTGGTTGTCTTTAAGAATTAAACAATTATCTCTTATTACAGATAATTCACTAAACAATTAAAGAATTTTCTGTAAATATTGTTTCCTAGTAAACTAGATTAGAACGGTGGGAATTTGGAGGCCAGTTTCAATGTAGAGTATGTATGAAAGATCAAGTTGCACATGGAAAACAAAAGTTTGATTAAAAAAACTTATCTTACTTTAGTAAATTGCCTCTCAAATTTTTAATTTTGATAATCAATCCCCTGAATTTGTAAAATTATTGCAATGTGCTTCATTTTATTAAATTTGCCCAAATTTTTTGTTAGATTTAAGAGATAAAAAACTGAGTAATTAAAAGATTTGTGTTACATTTGACTTGAAATGTTAGAACTTTTTATCGAATGTGCTTTTTCGATATTAATTTAGTACAATCATCATCAAAATTTAGGATATTACAATAATTTTACAAATTGAGGGGACAACTTACCAAATTAAAAATTTATGATGTAAGTTGTAAAAATCATACAAATTCACGGGACAAATGTGTAAAATACCCAAAAAAAAAAATGTAACCAGGGGTTGGATTAATTTTAAAATGAGTAAATTGCACTTGCATCATAAACTATTTGGTTTTTTTTTTTTCATAATAAATTCTAGTATTTTAATTTTGGTAATACACTTTGAACTTTAAAATCAACTTGACAAAAGTTTAGAGCAATGTAATATTGTTCTGGTTTTTTTTTTTTTTTAATTAGGAGTAATCTCATTTTTAGTCTCAAACTATAGGTAAATTCCATTTTGATTATTGACTTTTAAAATGTCTTAAAATGAGCACTCAATCTATGAAATTGTCTCAAATTAATTTTTTTATCTATCCAACGTCAAAATCAAGATGAAAAAATCATAGGTGAGGACCAATGTCATTTAGTAAGGGTTAAATTTATAATTTTACTTGTAAGGACATAATTGTTTAAAAGGACACACCATGTCTTTTTTTGTTAAGATTTTACAGTCATATTGATGAAATGATTAATTTAGAATAACATTTTAAAAATTAATAACCAAAATGAGATTTGATCAATAAAGTTCATAAAGTATAAATTAATCTTTTTAATGCCATATCAAAGAACTTTTAATTTATTCGTGTAAAACTTTTTCTTGCCATCTCGCCCCCATTCAATAGGTGAGGGCCAAGTACTTTGCTCCAAGAGGGAGAAGATTCGAGTCACTAGTCACACTACACTTCCTTAGCGGTTTGCCCACCCCACCAGTAACTATAAATATCAAATGTCATGTTTGATTTAATATATTGTCAAGGGAAAATTTCATTTTGGTATATCTAAATTTGAGTTTAATATTATCTGTTTTTAAAAATTTTATGCAAATGCTTCGATTTTTAGAAAATATTTTTTTAATACCTCAGAGTCATTTTTAAGACATAAAAAGATAAAATTGCCTTTATTTTAAAAATTCATTTATTGACTAGAATTTTGAAAGAAAAAAGGATTTTAGAAAACGATTTTGAAGAGATGAATTTTTAAAAAAATGATTATACTCTACAGGTTTAACACCTTTTTAAAATATTTTTTTTTATTTTCAAAATTCTGGTCAAGAGATGAATTTTTACAATAAGGGAAATTTTATTTTCGTATCTAAAAAATGGCTCCGAGGTATCAAAAAAAGATTTTCTAAAAGGTCGAGGTACCAACATGAAATTTTGAAAAACAAAGAGTACCAAACTCAAATTTCGATATAACAAATAGTAGCAAAGTAAAATTTTCCCATAAAACAAAGAGACAGGTTTTTTTTTTTTTTTTTTTGGTGAAAACAATGAGATTTGTGTTTTACATTGTGACACAGCTTAAATGAAACAACAATGGTTATTGCTTGATAATTTTACTATTTTCTTTTTTCCCCACTAATAAAGAACTTGATTAACGTCAGAGGATCACTAAAAAAAATTATTCTCTTAGCACTTTATCATAAATTTCTTTATATTTTTTTTAATAACTAGAATGAAGAGATTTGAATTTTCCGGACTCCTTATTTCACGGTTCAAGTTGAGAATTTGAATTAAAAAGTGAATTTCAATAAGCAAAAATATTATAATAAAAAAAATCAAATTTAAATTTTTATGAAAAATATTATACTAAAAAATTAAAATTGTGATTCCAATTATAAAATAAACGGAGCCTAAACCTCAATAAGTGCGGCGTCACAACTCCGTCTAGCCTGACAACCATTTTTCAGTTTTCAGAGGAGAAAAAAACAGTTCCTGAATGCCGTATATATCAAGTCTACTATAGTTTTCCTTTGATTAAGGTTTATGTCTCTTGGGTGAAAGGTCAATTTCATCATACACAAGAAGTCAAATCTTGTCTTCTTTATGTATTTTAAATGTTTCTTAGGATTCTTTGTAATCTTATAATAAAACATTAATAACGAAAATCAAAAACAGAACAAGTACAACTGAATATGTTTAGATTGAAAAAAAAAAGATTAGGACCTAATTTTAAGGGAGGGTGTAGTATATAGCAGATTCATAAAATTAAATTAAGAAAATAACATATTTTAAAGTTACATGAAGTATATAGTAATTTATTGCGCAAATATTTTATTTATGACTAATAAAAAGATTTTTTTTTCATTTTTTTATGACTGTTAAATTTTTTTTACACATAAATAAAGATTTTTTAGCACATAAATTATTTTTTGTCAGTCTTAAATGACACATTTATATGGTAAACTGTTATTTACTTCATATAGTTTTAAAATATACTATTTACTTAATTTAGTTTCAAAAATATGCCATTTACTATAATTTTCAAAAAAATTTAACAATATAAAAAATACTAAACTGGTGGGATATAATTTTAAACTGTTATATTGAGGTTAATCTCGTAAATGATCCTTGATTTTTAAAACCTTCCACAATTAGTCTCTGATCTATTATTTTGTTTTAGTTTCGGTTCTTATGTTAACTAGATGTTAAATATTTAAAAGAATATGAAAACATATAAAATTTAGGGGCTATTATGAATATTAACTCTTATTTTTTGCTTTGTTTTAGTCCCAAACTTTAAATGTTTTTAATTTTAATCCCTAATTTTCATAAATTTTGTCAAATATTTAACACCTACTAACGAAACTAATTATTAGACATTTTAAAATATGGATCAAATTAAGAATTGAAGGCAAACCTGAGAAATTATTTGTGTTATTATTTGTTATTTATTATTTATTTATTTTATTTTTAAATTCTGTTCAATTGTATTATCTTTCTAATATGAGATGATTTTAAAAGAATCTAACGGTTCATCAACACCATATATAATATGTACATATATACATATTATATATACACATCCAATAGTTAATTATTATTTTTTTCCTAAGTAATTAAGATTTTATTTTTTTCACAACTCAAGTCACAACTCACGTTCTATTACTATAGTGTTTTTTCTAATAAAAATTTAAATTTAATTTTTTTACTATAATATTTTTTCTCTCACATATACAATATAAGTCTTAATTTAAATTGTGAAACAAACAATACCATAAGTTAAATATGATGCTCCTTTTCTTCGTGGCGCCACTCTTTTTGGGCGATTGAGAAGTAACTAATAAATGGTTGATTCTCCTGCATCTCTGCTCAATACAGATTACAGAGTATAAAAGTTACTTTGAAAGCTTCAGAAAAGTTTCGTTCATATACGATTGAAAGAGAACAAAAGAACCTCGATTAGTTTTATGCATCTTTTTGATGCATTTTTCGAGTCTTGGACGTTTGTGTCAGCGTGCCAAAAAAATTAATTTTTTTTTAATATCTACGACTAACTTCAGAATCTTTTACACTAAAAAATTTCCTCCTTGGGGCGAGAAACCTTTTTAATCTTTCCAACTTTATTTATGTCTAAGGTTCTTCTGCGGTACCGATAATAATCAATCATTAAATTTAATTAAAATTAGATCAAAATCAAAATTACACACAAGATATGTTGCTGATACATAGTTGAAAATTGAAAAATAAAAGGTATCATTCGTGTCGTTAATTTAAAACACAATTTAAATTTCATCTACTAACTATTTTTTTCTCATTAATTTATTTTTTAACGTAAATTTTTAATCTACTAATAATTATTTTTTCACATCATAAAGTAAAAATCCTCTTATTTATAATTCTTTTCCTCTAACCTTTTACCTTTAGAATTCGGTGCACCAAAGTATATATATATTTTTTTGACAAAGTTAGATCATAGTACTCAAAAAGCTATGATTGCCTCTTTTTGCAACTTTGCTCATATACCCTCCAATCCGTCACTTTCCCAGTATGATCCATTTCTGTCTCACTCTCTCACTCTCTCTCACTTCACACAGATATATAATAGTATACAAAATAACAGCAGAGCCAAAACCAAGCTCTCTCTTATTTCATAAAAAAAAAAAAAAAAAAAAAAAAAACCAACCTCTCTCTCTCTCTCTCTCTCTCTACACCAATGGCCAAATCCTGCAAACACCCGTTACTTCTCTCTCTAACATTCTTCACATTCTTCTTCGTTCACACCTCATCTTCACCATCTGAGCTAGAAATTCTCCTCACATTCAAATCCTCCATTGAAGACTCAAAGAATTCTCTCTCCACTTGGTCCAACACCTCACAAACTCACTACTGCAAGTGGACTGGAATCACTTGCTCGCCAACTTCACCGCCTTCTGTGACTTCCATAAACCTCCAAAGCCTGAATCTTTCCGGCGAAATCTCTTCCTCAGTTTGCAAACTCGCCAATCTTTCTTATCTCAACCTTGCTGACAACTTTTTCAACCAGCCCATTCCTCTTCAGCTCTCGGGGTGTAGCTCTCTGGAGAGTCTGAATCTCAGCAACAATCTCATCTGGGGAACAATCCCAGATCAGATTTCTCAGCTTGGTTCAATAAAAGTGCTTGATTTGAGCAGGAACCATGTGGAGGGGAAAATCCCAGAAAGCATTGGACTTTTGAGGAAGCTCAAAGTTGTTATCTTGTCCAACAATCTGCTCTTGGGTAATGTACCTTCTTCTGTTTTTGGGAACTTGTCTGAGCTTGTTGTTCTTGATTTGTCTCAAAATCCTTACTTGGTGAGTGAGATTCCCAGTGATGTTGGGAAGCTTGAGAGGCTTGAGCAGCTTTTGTTGCAAAGTTGTGGTTTTCATGGTCAGATTCCTGAGTCTTTTCTGGGTTTGCAAAGCTTGACCATTTTGGACCTTTCCCAGAATAATCTTACTGGAAAGGTTCCTAAAACACTAGGTTCTTCTCTCAAGAACTTGGTGTCTTTTGATGTCTCAGAGAATAAGCTTTTGGGGTCTTTCCCTGATGATATATGTAGTAGTAAAAAGGGTGTTATAAACCTTAGTCTTCATACAAATCTATTTAGTGGTCCAATTCCTAGCTCCATTAATGAGTGCTTGAATCTTGAGAGATTTCAAGTTCAGAACAACTTGTTCTCTGGTGATTTCCCAAATGGGCTATGGTCATTGCCCAAAATCAAGCTTATTAGAGCTGAAAACAATCTTTTTTCGGGGCCAATACCCGAGTCCATAGCCATGGCTGCTCAACTTGAGCAAGTTCAGATAGATAACAACAGCCTCACAGGTGTAATTCCTCAGGGTCTTGGACATGTCAAGAGCTTGTATAGATTCTCTGCCTCTCTTAATGGTTTCTATGGTGAAATCCCTCCGAACTTTTGCGACTCTCCTGTTATGAGTATAATAAATCTTTCCCACAACTCCCTTTCTGGTGAAATTCCTGCGCTGAAAAAATGCAGGAAACTTGTGTCATTGTCTTTGGCAAACAATAGCCTTACTGGGAAAATCCCACCTTCTCTTGCTGACTTACCAGTTTTGACTTATCTCGATCTTTCGGATAATAATCTCACCGGTCCAATCCCTCAAGGGCTTCAGAATTTGAAGCTTGCCTTGTTCAATGTGTCCTTCAATCGGCTATCTGGAAAGGTTCCCTATTCGTTGATTTCGGGTCTTCCAGCTTCGTTTCTTCAAGGGAATCCTGATCTCTGCGGCCCGGGATTGCCAAATTCGTGTTCTGATGAAGAAGAGCCTGGACACCATGATGCCGGTCTTACAACATTGACATGTGCTCTGATCTCTTTGGCTTTTGCTGTTGGAACTATGATTGTTGTTGCCGGGTTTATTTTGTACCAACGATCACACAAGCGGAGATCCCAAGTTGGTGTGTGGCGTTCGGTTTTCTTCTATCCTCTTAGGGTCACCGAGCATGATTTGGTTATGGGAATGGATGATAAGAGTGCCGTGGGAAGTGGTGGAGTTTTCGGAAGAGTTTACGTTCTAAGTTTGCCTAGTGGTGAACGTGTTGCTGTGAAGAAGCTTGTTAACTTTGAAACTCAGTCCTCGAAAGCTTTGAAGGTCGAAATCAAGACGTTGGCCAAGATCAGGCATAAGAACATTGTTAAAGTTCTGGGATTTTGCCATTCTGAGGATTCAATCTTTTTAATTTATGAGTTCCAACCTAATGGGAGTTTGGGAGACTTGATTAGCAGAGAGGATTTTCGACTTGAGTGGAGTGTTAGAATGAAAATTGCAATTGGGGTTGCTCAAGGACTAGCATATCTTCACAAGGATTATGTTCCTCATTTACTCCACAGAAATGTCAAATCCAGAAATATCCTTCTGGATGAGGATTTTGAACCAAAACTGACAGATTTCGCTCTTGATCGGATTGTGGGAGAAGCTGCGTTCCAGTCAACAATAACATCTGAATCTCCTTTCTCCTGTTACAATCCACCAGGTAAGAAACTTGAGAAATTCTATAAATCTCTTGCTATCATATTTACTCATAGTACTGTCTCTGTTGACTTTTTCCTTCCACTAAACTGTTTTTTTTTTTTTTTTTTCTTTTTTTGTTGGTATATGGTTTGGTTCTTAAACTAATATAATATAGTTGCATATATTGAACTACAGACATCTACTTGAAGGAGTATGTAACAAGATTCTTTTAACTAACGTACTATATTTTCATATATTTAGCTGTCTTTGAACTTTTCAACTAGCTTTTGTAGCATCATCTCAGACCAGTTTGGCATTGTTTTTGCTTGTGCTTAAGTTAGTAGAAGAAAAGTAAAAAATTATGAATTTACCAAATTCTTAGAAGACCTTAATCAAAGAAAAAATTGATGCTTAAATTTTTTAATAAACAACAAAAATGTTGGAATGAGATATAGGGCCCGTTTAGTTCGCTGATTTGAGTTTTTGAAAAGTCTTATTGAAGCTCTGTTACAAGTTTCAAAGTCTACTTAGGAAAGCTTTATTGAGAAGCCCAATTTTCTTGGCTTTGACTTGAAGCTCGTATACATATAGAAGGCCATAACTCTTTTTAAAAATTATCCAAACACTGTTAAAAGCGGCTTTTGTACTCAGCCAAAAACGGTTTCTAGGAAATAATGTCAAAAGAGACTCTAGTATTGCACAAGCACAACATTTGACAGTGAAAAGTTCAACAACTAATTCTCATTTTGTTTTTTGATTGCAGAATATGGATATAGTAAGAAACCAACTGAACAAATGGATGTGTACAGATTTGGTGTTGTGTTGCTAGAGCTAGTCACAGGCAGGCCAGCTGAGCAATCTGAATCAGTCGATTCCCTTGACATTGTGAAGTGGGTGAGAAGGAAAGTTAACATCACAAATGGAGTTTTTCAGGTTCTTGATCCCAATGTATCAAGTTCTTCGCAACAAGAGATGCTAGAAGCTCTTGATCTCGCTCTCCGTTGCACTTCTGTGATGCCGGAGAAGAGACCATCGATGTTTGAAGTCGTGAAGTTGTTGCAGTCTCTTGGTTCAAAGACCAATGTCTCCAGTGTAGAGTTCTCTGCTTTTCAAGATCATTTAGTCCCAGTTTGAAACCTGAACAAGAAAACTACACCATTTCTCTCTACTTTGCCTTTAATGTAAATCCAATTCTGATAGGGAAGGGTAAGTTTGGGCATGGATTTTGTCTATCTTCCAACTGGAATCTGTTTTGGGGTTTTTATCAAATCTTATTGGCTTTTACAATGTAATATTATTAGTTCACAACCTATGAATGGCATCTCATATATATTATCGAGAGATGTTGCTGATATTTAATCTCATGCATGACCAAACAAATGTTCTCCTGTGAATTTTAGATTTGACAATTAAGCCTATGTTTGGTAGAGTGGAGAAGGGATGGGAAAGAAATTAGAGGATGAATTTTAGAGAGGAAAAGAGAACATTGATGTTTGATAGAATTGAAATTGAAAATGAAGCCAAATCTGACTAATCGCCACCTCGCATGGTTGTATGAAGCTCATCATGTAACGACTTGTACCTATATTTGGTATGATATTGTTTGTTTTGAGCTTGAGCCTGTACGGTTTTGTTCTTAGGTTTCATCTCAAAAGGTCTTATACCATTAGGAGGTAGTGTCATTTCTTATAAACCATCACCTATGATCAGCCTAAGCAATGTGAGACTGTATAACTTATTCTTTTTTGGACCTCTTGTCTCAAGAAATTGATGACTATTACAATCACCCCACCTTTTAGAGGCCCAACGTCTTTATTGGACACATTTCTGACTGAGTACATACTCTGATACCATCTATAACGACACAAACCTCTATCTGGTATGATATTGTACTCTTTGGGATTGAGTCTGCACTGTTTTACTCTTGATTTCACCTTAAGAGGCCTCATATCATTAGGAGGGCGTCATCTTCCTCATAAACCATCAACTATGACCATCTCAAACGATATGGGACTATATCTTTCCCATCACCTTGTAGATTGTATTGTTGCATGGTTGGTGGTTAAATTTAGTGGCCAGAGGCCTGACAACGTGTCAGACTTCCGACAGGGAAGCTCTAGCCTTTTGGGTGTTTAAGAGAGAGAGAGGGAGAGAGAACAAAGGTTTAGAGAGAGGTTATCTTGTGATAAATTAGGAAAAAAGTGAAACTAGCATATATATATATATATTTAGGTTACTTTCCTTAATCTTATTAACATAATACTAATTAACGTTACAAAATTTAAGAACAATAGAGAAAGGCTTTCCATCAGTTACAGAGGTTAAAAACACTAGACACAACGAACATGAAAAGGCATCTATATCGGAGATTTTTTTTAAGGGGAAAAAATTCCAAGGATGAAAAAGCAAAACAAACACCAATTCACACACAACTCTAACCACCAAAAAAAAAAAAAAAAAAAAAAAAAAAAAAAAAAAAAAAAACATGGCATCAACAGACAATCAGTTCTAATTAAGGAAAAACAGTGTGATCGGGCTCTATAAGCATATACTTAAAACGTACAAAAAATCGAGCGCAAATATGACTATTTAACAGATACTGTGCAGTTAATGGAAAAATTCAAGAACTGGTATTGAGAAACTCAGAACACTAAGACAACACAAAAAATTACAGAAAAAACATCTTACAAATAAATAAGACAACCAAATACTAAACAAACAAGATAACACAAACTAATCGGTGTAAGCACAATTATTAGAAACAAAAGATAAAATATCCATAAATCTGAACAATAAAATTACATATCAAGAGAATTTGATTACATGTTGAGGACTGAGGAGGAATTCCATTTGAGGGTGAAATCGGTACTTCGGTATCTTGTGGATGGACTAAAATCTAGAGTGTTTGGATTCAATGTTGTTACGGCATGCGACCGTTGATCTTACAAGCGGCCTCGGTGAGAATAGCCATTATTCTGGCACGATCATATTTAATCACCTTTGCTTTAACCTTGTTTTCTTCTCAACCTTGCATAAACATTGTTTCAACCTTGTTTTTCCCTCAACCTTGCTTTAATATTGCTTAAACCTTGCTTTTAGTATGTGGTAAATGTAGGGTGTATTTGGAATTGGTTCTAAATAATTTTATTTTTTGTATAAAAATGGAAATGAAAACGTTTTTATTTTTATTTTAGAATTATTTTTGAAAATGCGTTTGGTAGTTTTATTCAGAGATTGACTTTAGTTTTTAAAAAAATTAAAATTGTGTTTGGTGATTTAATTTTTGAAAACTATTAATATATTAAATAAATAATAATTGAAAACATGAAAACATATTACCAACCGGCAAACAAAAAGTCATTAACAAATCCAACCGAACACCAGCATTAACAAATCAGAGAGTTTGAATATAATTCAACCGGAAAACAAACATTATTGTTAATCTGCCAACAACTGTTTAAGCACTATCAGCAAGATTTTTGCTACAAAACCAATAATAGAAGAAGTAAATCATGGAGCATTCTTGCTACAAAACCAATCTAAACACTTAAATCAGAAGAATGAGATGGAAGAAATCCAAAATGAGAAGGAAAAATGCGACAACCTTAGAACGGAAAAGATGGGGTCGAGGGACATCGGAGAAGAGCGGGGTCGAGGGAGATTGGAGACTTTGGAGAAGAGAGAGGGTCGAGGAAACAGGAGAAGAATAGGAAGAGGAAAATGAGACACGGCAGAAAATGGGAAACGACGGTGAAAGAGGCGGAGGCCGGCGAAAGAGGCGGAGTGAGAGGCGATGAGAGATTGGGGAAGGTTTGAGAAGCGATCTGAGAACTTTTAAGAACGGGAAGAGGACGGCAGAAAATAGGAAGGAAAACGATTGTGGATCGTTTTCAATTTTACTGATTTTTTGGGAACGGTTAGAAAACGTTTTCAGTTTTGTTTTTTAGAAAATGGGCTGCCAAACACGGATCTGAAAGCGTTTTCATTTTTTGGTCATTGAAAAACGTGAAAAACGTTTTTGAAAACGGTTCCAAACAGCCTCGTAGTTTCTTAACCACGCTCAAACCTTGTTTTAAATTTTGAGGATTTAGAGAGTTAGGTGGCATTGAGAATGAGATCAAGAGTTAATTCTGGAGAGAGATAGAAATACAACTCAAAAGATGTCATCTTTACATTTAGAATACCCAACGTCATAAACTTAACATCTATGATATTCAATTTATTAGACAATATCCTACAAGGATAATCGAATATGGTCGGATATCTTCAAAAAGCATTTTGATATAATATATTTGATATTCTATCAGAATATATATATATATATATATATATATATATAAAATTTAGGGTAAAGTGCATAGTTGTACCTTAAATTATTTATTTTTTTCGTAATGCACTTTAAATTTTTAATTTTAACAAATTACACATTGAACTCAAATCATTTACAATTGAGGTCCAATAGGTAGCGGATGTTATCATATTGATCGTTAAAACAGACAATTCGCACATGAAATGTAAAGATCATCACTTTTTAAACCATGACACGTGTAATTCCTTCCATTAACTAATGGACTTCAATTGTAATTGATTTTAAAGTTCAAGGTATAATTTGTCAAAATTAAAATTTTAAGGTTCAATATGCAAAAACTGAATAGTTTAAGGTGTAACATTGCAATTTACTCATATATATAATTTCAAATCAACAAAGATGACATAAATATAAAACTGTTGAATTTTGGTGGCATATACTGCACAAGTTTCTCTAAATATTCTATCATTGTTGGGCCAGGAATTCTGCGACTTTTGATTTTTTTTTTCTTTTAAGGATTTAACTAAGCTACGTAATTCTTTTATGATATAAAAAAGAAATTTAGATGTTTAGCCACAGCTCCCTAAAACAAAAATTTTAAATACAACGATGTATAATTGTCTCGATCTACATTCATATATAACTTGAACAAACAAAAATTTACAAAGCTGAAAACAAAATTCCAGAACAGTAGACTCTTTATAAACTACCTTAAAGATTTAACTCTGCAAGGCCCAAGAGAATCAACAAAGTAAGAATTAGACAAACCTTATGTTGAAAATGGGATGCAATTTTCTAACATGATCGTCAAATGTAATGATTATATTTGAACCTTAAAATCAACAAATATATATATATATATATAAAAAATTTAGGGTAAAGTGCATAGTTGTACCTTAAATTATTTATTTTTTTCGTAATGCACTTTAAATTTTTAATTTTAACAAATTACACATTGAACTCAAATCATTTACAATTGAGGTCCAATAGGTAGCGGATGTTATCATATTGATCGTTAAAACAGACAATTCGCACATGAAATGTAAAGATCATCACTTTTTAAACCATGACACGTGTAATTCCTTCCATTAACTAATGGACTTCAATTGTAATTGATTTTAAAGTTCAAGGTATAATTTGTCAAAATTAAAATTTTAAGGTTCAATATGCAAAAACTGAATAGTTTAAGGTGTAACATTGCAATTTACTCATATATATAATTTCAAATCAACAAAGATGACATAAATATAAAACTGTTGAATTTTGGTGGCATATACTGCACAAGTTTCTCTAAATATTCTATCATTGTTGGGCCAGGAATTCTGCGACTTTTGATTTTTTTTTTCTTTTAAGGATTTAACTAAGCTACGTAATTCTTTTATGATATAAAAAAGAAATTTAGATGTTTAGCCACAGCTCCCTAAAACAAAAATTTTAAATACAACGATGTATAATTGTCTCGATCTACATTCATATATAACTTGAACAAACAAAAATTTACAAAGCTGAAAACAAAATTCCAGAACAGTAGACTCTTTATAAACTACCTTAAAGATTTAACTCTGCAAGGCCCAAGAGAATCAACAAAGTAAGAATTAGACAAACCTTATGTTGAAAATGGGATGCAATTTTCTAACATGATCGTCAAATGTAATGATTATATTTGAACCTTAAAATCAACAAATTTTAACACTCTAAGCTCACAAGACTAACCTTGACCATTTTGGCACCAGCATCATCTGTAAACAACGCAGAGATGAATGTGCAGCTTTGTAGATTCAATTGAACAAATATGGTTCAGTTTCCTCAAACGTTCAGTTTTTTTTTGTACAAGTTTTTTAGGATTATACAAGTTTTTTTGTAGTAAAAAAATATGGTTCAGTTTCCTCAAACGCTCGTCTCATAACATCTATAATTCATAAACTAAGAGTTTGCCGAGTTCAAATTAACAAATGATACGAAAATAACTTGAAATTTGTTTTAAAAAAGAGTAAATTACATACTTTACCTCTTAAAAGTGTAGTGTTCAAGATTTTTACTACATACTTTTAATTAATACAGT